AACCCCCCCCCCCCCCAAATTCAGTAAGCCCTAATCCTGCAGCTTTAAAAAGGCCCTGAGCTTGCTATAACCTCTATATGTAATCCCCAGTGCATTATGCTTTCCTTTATGTTTTACTTTTTTATCATTTTTCTGCATTATTGCTTTTCATCCTTGTTAGCTGTCTGGAATCACTTGGCAAGTGGATAGTCAAATACATTTAATAAAGAAATAAACAAATTGGCATTTGAAAATGCACAAAAATCAATCAATCAATCAATCAATCAATCAATCTTCAACTGCCCTTTTTAAGGTAGTTTTGGAATGAGCTTTGCTAACAATTGAATCAATCATTATGCTGCGGCTTGAATTATTTAAAGCCCTCATTTCTCCTCTGTCAAGTTTTAGTCTGTAAATGCCTCAAGGCAAGAACTCTTGAGAATTGCTGTGCTGGTAGTACATAAATTATAATAACAGGTAATCACAATGCTACATTTTGGGTTCCTTGCTCCTCAAAGGTTACTATAGAACTGGAAAAAGGGAAAGTAAAGGGAATCAGAATGATCAAAGGTCTGAAAAGATCAGTGGGCTATATTTGTTTTTTTAGAGACAACTAACATGGCAATCTTATATAGCTTTCTCTGCAGAGGATTGACTTGCAGGAGATGATACAGAGAAAACTATGTAGGACTTGAAAAAAAAATGAAACTGTAAATTTCAAATCATATATGAACAGGCTGCAACTCCTGGGGGAAAATCTGTCTGTCTGTCTGTCTGTCTGTCTGTCCATCCATCCATCCATCCACACACACATATACATATTCATGTGCAAATACACACATATGCACGTGCACACACACACACACACACATTCCGTAATCTTTAGAACCCCCAGGGACCATGTTGCTGATATCATATCATCAAATATTGGAAGCCTGTAATATAAACCATCAGACTGGCTAAACACACTTTTTTTTAAATGCCCAAACTATTCATGAAAGAAGGCAAATCTTTGCTCTGGCTCATGACAGATAGTCCTCGTTTAGTGACCACAATTGGGACTGGCAGCTTGGCCATTAAGTGAAGCGATCACTAAGTGAAACTGCGACTGTGGTTTTGATCTGACTTTAGCTTTCCTTTGCTTTACAGACCTGTGAAGGTCGTAAACGTGAGGATTGGTCAAAAAGTTACTTTTTCATCACCGTCGTAACTGTGAATGGTTGTTAAGTGAGGCACTCACTAAACAAAGACTACCTGTACCTGTGTGGGGTCCTGCCACTTTGGTTGTATCTACTGAGTTCTCCCAATCATCATCAGTATAAGCTAGTCTCCGAGCTTCCAAAAGTTTGCATACTTCAATTTTCTCTTAAAGGCAGATACTGGCTAGCTGGGTGGTCTTCATTTTTCCTCATTCAACTGTTATTGGATTGCAGAGAAATAATTGTTGAATCAACTACATTCCAAAGGGAAAAAATAGATACAGGCATTTCTTTTAATGCACTGATTTACAAAACCAAGGGGACTAGAGATGCTTTGTTGTCTAAACTGCAAATTTAAAACTCTTTATTTATACATTATTTCCCCCACTTCCCCTGGTATATGTCAACACTAATCTGCATCCATGTGTTTTTCTTCCCCCTCGCCTAGGTAACAAAATACCTTGAGCCAGCTCGGGGGAGAAATGCATTTCTACCTTAGTTTAAGTGTCAGGAGATGCTATTACCCCAATCAAGTAGATTTTCCTTTAGGGAAAGCTTCAGAATATCATCTAGTAACCGGACAATGACTGCATGGGGAATGGTCTGGCCTATGAATAGAAACAAGCAGGGTTCAAAGTCAAGGGTCAGGATCAAGGGGCCTATGAGACTACAAGAAGGCATTTCAAGAAATAAAAATGAACTTTTTAAAACAATAGCTAACTTGCAAGAATTTTGGCCAGGTCTTGCAAAATCTCTGTGTTTTTTCAGGAGACTTTATCAGATTTCTGACATTTGAATATAAATACACATACAAATATATTTAGGATGGTGTAGCATCATGAATAATAACTTTGATGATGCTTACTGCCCCCAAAGCTTGCTGACTCCTGGGCCAACCAATTCCCTTGAATGGAAGAATGCTCTGGAATCAGATAAAGGGTGACAACCACCATGATAAAACAAATTCAAATAGCAAGAACACCCCCCAAAACAGCATTCCTTCAGCCAGTGATTGGCAGCCTGGTGCCAGGGAATCGGTCTTGCCTGCCTACCATCCCCAATGATGCCACAGCCTTCAAACTGCCTAATTTGGACCTTCTTGGAAGATTAATGGCATAATGTTGGAGGATGGTAGCTAGCCTTAAAAGATG